TCGATAGCCATGACTTACTTCGAGTAGGAGGGCATCTAGATAAGGCTAAAATAGCCCCAAATATCAAGCACCCTACCATCCTTCCCGCTCATCAACATGTAACACACCTGCTGGTCCAACACTACCACGAAACCATTCACCATCAAGGTCGGCACTTCACAGAAGGTGCCATCAGAGCTGCTGGATTCTGGATCGTGGGAGCCAAAATGTGCATCACTACCGTCTTGTACAGGAAGACCAAAGAGCCTAATCTCGAAGAAGGAGACCTTGTCTTGTTGAGAGACAAGGACGCACATCGGAATTCATGACCCATAGGGCTTGTGCACCATGTTCTACCCAGCTCTGATGGACTAGTTCACCAAATTGAAGTCCAGATCGCAAAGCCACATGAGTCATGTCGTGACTCACAGACTCTGGTTAAAAGGCTTTACACCAGACCGATCACCAACCTGGTACTGCTGCTGAGGAAGACCGAACTTGAAGATTGAACCACGAGCTATGCATGTTTTGTGTCTATCTCATAGCCGTATTGTTTGATGCTATGCCTTTGCTTATTTTAGTTAGTAGTTAGTTAATAGTGGAAATTGTATAATTCCAGGTGGGAAGTGTGCTAGTCAGAGTATATAGCTATCTTAGGATTTAAGAACTGTCCCCTTAAGGGATAGCCTTCTGGGTAATGTAGTTTATGTTACCTGGTCATATCTGTGTTCGGACTGGCCACTGGAAGGGACTTCTGTTTAAATACAGGATTTTTTGGCTACGTGCTAGTCAGCGAAGTCGCTATGAAGTCCAGCCACGAGATCTGTTTGCTTCGTTAGCATGGAAGAAGCTATTCTTTTTTACCTACATGATGGGTCCAGATTATGACATGTATTTCAGAAGAATCTCTATAATAACTGTAAGTTAATGTCTTGAGGATGCCTGATGAATTATAGTAATTTGCATAAAACCCTTCCATGGAGTTAATCTGCCTGTATCCAACAAAATCAAGCAATCCCCCTGCTTGATCCTGGACAGGCAGAATGCCCAGAAACAAAGAAAAGCTGTTCCTTTGAATTGCAAATAACCTTGAAGACAGCTGGGAACAAAAGAAGAGCCAGGTATAAGATTAAAAAGTGTCTGAAAGAAAAAAACAACACCTGGACTGTTGCTTAAATCTAAGAACTGTTTATGGAAAAGAAAAACCTTGCCTTTTTGGCTAATCTTTTAGAGGAGATTCTACAGGAAGGATTTAAAGTGGCTGAACACACTGAACTGTAATTTTGACTGGCTGATAAAGTGACTTTTGAATTAAAACATTGAGAAAAGATTATTTGAAGGGGGGAAGACAACATGGATATCACATACGTATCAAAAAATGACAGAACGCCACATTCAATATTTTCTCCTGAAGGACTTAGCCTGGAAAATCAAGGGCCTCCAGAAACAATACTTCAAGGCAAGATAAATATTTTTCAGGAGGAAATATATGTAATCGTAGGACAAATACAAATGACAATGGACTCAAACCACGAGGAAATTCGAAACAACTTTGATGATTTAAATAAGCATATTGTCAGAATCCAATTATATTTCATCTTTAATTATCAAATATAGAAACTCCCAATTCTGCCTTCTCTGGATTCTGCCATAAGAGGGAGAGAAGGGGGAGAACAAAGGGGCTTTATGGCCCTCACTTCCTTCAGTATACTTCTAAGGAGCTGAATGCTGAATGTGTGTTTATTGCAACCTCAAAGAGTTAGCACCAAAGAACCTTACCATAACAAAGAAGGTTATTTGCCTTTCATGTAGTTTATCTGAAGTCTCCATCCAGACGGAAGAAAGAAAAAAGGGGGTGGAATTGTGATACCTGAAACTATCACTGGAAGGGGGGGTGATTGGGTGGGACTACTGGGGAACCCCTTAAAACCTTGAATGGGAGAGCTTGGACCCCAAGTCCTGTCTAGCACGCCTGCAACCACTTCTTCTTAATAAAGGATTCCTGTTGGAAGAATTATTCCAAGAGTTCTGTCTTCTTAAGATGCAAAGTGGGGTGGGTCCTTACACATATTTCCAATCTAAATCTACAATTAAAAAACACCCAGGAAATAACAATGAATGAACAAATAAATTAGATAACAGACTACAAATTAGAAGAGTATGATCAGATTGATGAAATAACAAAGGAAAATAATTACAATTTAACACAAATAGGAAAAATCTACAAGGTTCTGATACAACAGGAAAAATGGAATGGACTATAGAATTATCAGGAGAACCATCAAAGTTTGGGAGACAGAAAGTATTCATCTTGCTTACTTCATCTTTTGTATTCCCAACAACATTTGTAAAAAAATACAGGAACCGCTGGGTAAGTGGATTACATCAACTTGGAAAACTACTCGGCAAAAGAAGAAGACCAGAGACAGATACAAGAGATTTCATGTTGTCCCACATATATCGAAATTTACAGTCCAAATGTTGGAGATGTGGAAATTTAGATGCAACTTATTTTCATATTTAGTGGACTTGTAAAGATATTAAAGCTTTTTGGATTAAGATTTGGTGGAATATTCAAAAGATTTTTAAGAAAAAGATAAAGTTTACTCCGCAATTATTTTTGTTGGGTATTATTGTAGATTTGGATGTTAAAGAAACTAATTTGATGTTGAACCTTATAACTGCTGCAAGATTATTGGTGGGCAATATTGGAAGAAAAACTTATTGCCTACTTTGAAAGAAAGGATACTTAAAATGTCTAATTTAGCAGAAATGGCAGAAATCTCCGCCTATTTGAAGGATCATTTATAAGAAAGATATATTATGGTTTGGAGAAGATGGATTGATTATATTCAGAAGAAGTATGAAACTGGAAAGTATTATCTTGCTTTTGAATAGATTTTAGATAATTATTAATAGTATTAATTGTATTATTATTATTGTTGTCTTAATTTGTTAATATTTGTTTTGAGAAGGAGTTAAAGTGTATTATGGTTTTGATTGATAGTTTAGTTGGTTTATGTTAGCTAGATTATGTTTGTTTATTTGTTACCCTGTAATCAGCTCTGGGAACTGGGGGAGGGGGGAGGGGATGGGTGGGTTTATATTGTAATTTGTAAAACTTTTAATAATAATAAAAAAAGAGATTTGACTTGCCTTACCAGATGGACTATTATGTGAATAAACATTTGTTTGAATATGGCTAAAAGAACAGAGAATTTTGAATATAAAGGGACCTTATAACAAGAAGGATAAGAGATTTAAGTAATATAGTATGTTCTATAATATATGAAATGTAAAAATAGCAGGTTGATATAACTTGTATTAATATAAGTGAAATATAAACTGATTAAAAAGGATGTTATATCTAGATATTATAAGATAGATAAAAATATAGTATATTTATAATGCATGACTTAAAATATTGGGATGATGGGAAAATTTGGACAGTTAGATGACTAATATGAAGAAATTATGACTGATAAGGCGTTCTAGACAGGACTTGGGGTCCAAGCTCTCCCATTCAAGGTTTTAAGGGGTTCCCCAGTAGCCCCACTCAATCACCCCCCTCTTTCAGCGACAGTCTCAGGCATTGCATTCCCAACCCCTTTTCCTTACTGCCGGCTGGATGGAGACTTCAAAGAAAACTACATGAAAGATAATAGCCCCATTCTTATGGTTAGCTCTTTTGGCAATACACACATTCAGTTCCTTTGAAGTATACCGAAGGAAGTGAGGGCCATAAAGCCCCTTTGTTCACCCCTTTCCCTTCATCGTATGGCAGAATCCATAGAAGGCAGAAATGGGGTTTTTTATAATTGATAACTAGAGATGAAATATAATTGGATTCTGACAATAAGGAAAATTAAGCGTAAACAAAAATTATGAAAATAGAATGCATGCTGAACTATTGAGATGATGGTTATGAGAATAATATAAGGTGAAAAAATGTTTTATATATAGATTATTATTATTTATATAAATATAAAAAATACCTACATCTAATCATTTATATATTGAAAATATTAAGAATTATATTTTGGCTAAAGTTGAAGAAGGAGAATACAAATGGGAGAAGGGAAGATCAAAGAAATATATAATTAATTGATATATTAATTATGGAATTATCAAATTTAATCATTATTGATTGTTAATTAATTATTATTGTCCTTTTCTTCTTGTTAAAATATAAACCAAGACAACACGTACACTAGGCACTGGAGATTGTTATAGTTAAAAACCAATAAAATATTTATATATAAAAAAGAAAAGAGAAGGGGGGAGAGAGGAGAGAATATAAAAGGAGGTGGTTTTGGCAAGAAAGGGAAAAAAAAACAACAGGGAAAGAGAAGGAGATGGAGAAAAAGCTGTGGAAGGAGAGCCCAGCAGGCAAGGAGGAAGAAGACACAGGGAGAAGAACCGGTAGAAGGAGAGCCCAGGAGGCAGGGAGGAAAAAGAGAGAGTAGAAGGAGAGAGGAAGAAGAGCCGATCAGCCAGCTGACCACCAAGCTAGTGGTACATATTAATAAATATGGATATTTTCATCATACATTTGTCAGTGCAAAGGGAAAGTGATTCAGCAAAGGAAACACCACCAAAGAAATTACAACTTCCTTTTTTAATGGTTTGTAACATTTTAATAGATTATAGAATAAAATATAAAAATACAAAAGCAAATAGTAGGACACAGTGGGGAGGAAGAAGGGGGGAAAGTGAGGGGGAGGAGGGAAAAATAAAAGGCATTGACTTCCGACTTCCTCTGTTGCAGTAGAATGAAGCATTAACATCGAACCTCAACTTTTTGCTTTTCCATAAGAGTATAAACTAGCCATTTCTATAACAACAAATGAATCTAATCAGTAAAACCCAACCTCCCCTTTTTTTTAGTCATCAAGTTTTGGACACCTTGTTAAGCACTGATGGTATTTGAATATTGTCATGTCCTAAAGGTGGCACAATCTGTGAAAAAGTTGAAAAGCCTTGCCTTAAACTACATTTCTTTGGAACATAAATTAGCTTACCCTGCTGTGGAGCTTCTCATTCAGTTTGGGTTCTCTGTGTTCACTTTTTTTCACTTTTAACCACTGCACTAAAGGCTTGATTGTTAAACCCTTTGAAGGAAAATGAACAAATTACCGTAGTTTTAATTTAAAAAATTTACAAATTTAAAGGATGCAAAAAAGAAATGAAACATGTACATATCACTAAATATACTCATTTAGGTACTCTTTCACATATTGTGACACTTAATGTTCTTTCCTTATATACATAATATACATATATAATACATAAACATCCTCATGTTTGGTAATTTGATGTTGATACAGTATTCTGGAAGCATTTTAAATGACAGTTCTTTGCCCACAAGAATATAGTTCTATATATTTCCTTGTTGGCAAAATACATTTCATATTTTTAAATAATATATATCATATTCTTTCCAGAGAAGCATATCTTCACAGAATTTGCTATAATAATATTATTAGTGTTTCTAATTAAAATCGATGGTTCATTATCATTGAAATTAGAACCCAATATTATAAAAACTGTATTAAAGAATACTAAATAGCAAATTTCTTTTTGCAAGTAATGTTGAAATGGTTTGCCCTGCTTATATAGCTCTCATGAAATATGTATTTTTATTTATGACATAGACATTTTACTTTTTATGCGGGAAAATGTAACTTGACTTACATGGTGAAAATGTATAATAGATCTCTTTATTTAAAAAACATAGTCTTAGTTCATGTTTTTTAATGGTCAGCTTTTCTCCCTCTAATTTTTTTTTTAAATGGAAAAGTTATCTTTTGCTCCGGCAGTACAAAACCTATTTTTAGGAAAATATACAGCTGGACATAAAAGACATGAGACAAACGTTTTAAAAGATTGCATCTCAAAAGCCTTCATTTGTTGTTTTTCTTTTAAAACAACAAATGCATGTAATATTTTGATTTGTTTTATAGAGTGTCAGATGATACTATTAATGTGGCACTATATCTTACAATACTTTGAATCCCCAAGGATCTATGAAAGGGTCCTTTTTGTAGACTTCAGCTCGGCATTCAATACCATCATTCCATAAATTCTCTCTAAACTGACTCAGCTAGCTGTACCTGACCACACTTGTAGTTGGATTATAAGCTTTCTAACAGATACATAGAAAGCAGCAGGAGAAGCTATGTAAAATCACATAGAATACACATTCACTTAGTATAGGGCACCTCTCAGGGCGGTGTGCTTTTCCATTGTTTTCTCTCTAAGCAATGACTGCATCTCAAAGGATCCTTTCTTAACATACTGAAGTTTGCAGATAATACAGCAATCATTGGTCTCATTCAAGATGGTGATGAGTCTGCATACAGATGGGAGGCCTTGTGATGCATCTGGAACAATTTGGAGCTGAACACCCTTAAAACTGTAGATATGACAGTGGATTTTAAGAAGAGCCTTCCTATTCTACCATTAGGCAACACTAGTGTCAAGTTTCTGGGTTCTATAATCTCCCAGGACTTGAGATGGACACCTAATATTAGAACCATAATTTAAAAAGCACAACAAAGAATGTACTTCCTGCATCAGCTCAGAAAGCTCAGTCTGACCAAGGAGTTGCTGATAACAGTTCTACAGAGGAATTATTGAATCTGTCATTTGTACTTCTATAACTGTCTGGTTTGGTACAGCAACCAAACTGGACAGGTATAGACTTCAATGGAAAGTTAGGACCAGGGCTTTTTTTGTCACAGAATGCTCAGAACGGAGTTCCGGCACCTTTTTTGGATGGAACCTTGTAAGGTAGGCAAGGCGGGTTGTATGACATCTGTGAGTTCCGGCACCTTTTTTTTTTTTTTTTCAAAAAAAGCACTGGTTAGGACTGCAGGAAAAAAAAAAAACTGCAACCAGCTTGCTTTCTGTTGAGGACCTATATACTGCATGAGCCAGAAACAGGGCTAAAAAAATATCTACACATCCAGGACATAAACTGTTTCAACTCCTCCCTCAGGATGCCACTATAGAGCACTGCATGCCAAACACCTACATACAAAGACAGTTGTTTCCCTCATGCTATCACTCTACTGAACACCTAATTCCCATAGCACTGTCTTATATCTAAGGATATTTATCCATGTAGTAGGGCTGTAATTATTATTACCTTTCTCATATTTCATATTACCTTCTACAGTTGATATCTTATGATTATATTACTTTGTTGTGTGTTGTTTGTATGTACACTGAGAGCTTATGCACCAGAGACAAATTCCTTATGTGTGCAATCACAGTTGGCCAATAAAGAATGTTGTGTTGTATACTGTATGTTTTTTTTTATTCCTGAGACAGAATCCATATAGATATATTTTATTCCTAAGACAGAAAACAGCATTCAAAGGGATCTTTCACATATTAGGCTAAAGACTACAAAAGGACATAATACACAATGCATATGTACAGGTAGTCCTCAACTTGCGATCACAATTGAGCCCAAAATTTCTGTTGCTAAGTGAGTCAGTTGTTAAGTGAGTTTTGCCCGTTTTATGATCTTTCTTGCCACAGTTGTTAAGTGCAGTGGTTAAGTGAATCACTGCAGTTGTTAATAATAACATAGCTGTTAAGGGAATCTAGCTTCCCCATTGGCTTTGCTTAACAGAAAGTTGCAAAAAGTGATCACATGACCCCAAGACATTCCAACTGTCATAAATATGAGTCAATGGCCAAGTGTCTGAATTTTGAACATGTGACCCTGAGGATGCTACAACAGCCGTTAAGTGTGAAAAATTGATATAAGTCACTTTTTAAAGTGCTGCTGTAACTCTGAATGGTCATTAAATGAACTGTTATAACTCAAGGGCTTTCTGTACAACCTTTCATCCACTAAGACAAGGATTTTTATTTTTTCTTCTAGGAAAAACTGAATTGAATACCTGGAATATCACAGTGAAAAATACAACTATGATAGTTGTGCTGACAAACAAGTTTTTATCTTGCACTTTGTTTTCATCCAAAAGTACGACTAAGGCAAAAGCAACAGCACCACGGAGACCGCCATATGACATTACTACTTGGTCTATTATTCCCAGCTGTACCATTCGATAGCGATTTAGAATCCAAGTCTGTAGAATTACACCTGCTTAAACAAATGTATCAGAGTAACAAAGATATCAGATTAACACACATTTCATTGGGAATTAGGACAGATACGATGTGCTAAAAATCATTATGCAAAACTATTGCCAGAATACAAAGTGATACCTCTTTACCATTTGCTTTTCCTAACTGATATTAGAGTTTTTATCTGCATTAAACAATCTATTACACAGAATTGGTTATAATCACTGGCAACAAGTCAATTTATTTACTGCCTTTAAATTACAGCAACTAATTTAAACATTGATTGTCCCCACTATAAATTTGTTGATGTTAATTCCATCAAATCCATTAGTATGATGAAAGCTAATCAGCATAATACTAAAATTGGTATTTTGAACATATAAATGATTTTATAATACTTTTAATCAGTATCAAAAAAGATATTGACTAAAAGTATTATAAAATCATGAATACTTTATATAGAGCAGTCTAGAGCTGTCTAGAGCAGGTGTCCCCACCCCTGGTCCATGGACCAGTACCTGGCAGCAGCATGCCAGCAACTAGTCCACACAAACAAGCAAAGCCCCATCCACAGGATGCAGGCAGCACACAAAACCATGCCCCCTCCAGCCCGTGGACATACCTCTCTCCACATAACTGGTCCCTGGGGCCCAAAAGGTTGAGGACCTCTGGTTTAGAGTCATAGGATTTTGGAAGTTACTCGTCAGTAGCCTAACTCTAAAGTAGGCAGAAGTCAGCTTGATCTTCAACTGCTTACTATGAAATGTACAGTAATTACTTTTGAATCATTACCACCAAACTTCAAATCAGGCATAATATTAATTCCCTCTGTTTTACAAGGAACTTTATTTTCTAAAGAACAAAGGAAAATATCCTCACAGTGTTATCAGAGTAGTGAATTCAATACTGTATCTTCATCCTACAATAAGCAATGTGCATTGCTATTTTTCTTATCCAGATCTCCTAAATAACAAAAAAGCAACATTTGAAATCACTTATGCAGAAAATAAAGTCCTTGTAAAAGAGTCAACTCACCACCTGGAACAAGTAGTCATTTTCCCTCCTCATATCCAGATTTTTAATGTTACCTGGGAAGGAGGGTTAAAACAAACCCACCCTCTTTAAATAAACAGTGTTTTATAATAAGGGAAATGAAAGCAAACACGTTTGTGGGTGTGTTAAGGAATTATGCTGGGAAGACAGTAGAGACTCAGGAAAAACACCAACCCAAAGGGAAGTGCCTCACCAGTAGTCTTCAGGCAGCATGGAAAAAATCAGGTATTGGAACTGCAAGACTGTTGAGAGGCAAAGCTGAGAGACAGGGAAGTAAGAGAACTTGATTAGCTTGGGAACCCAAGCAAGCCTGTGGTGTGCTGCAGCCCAAATGCAAAGCTCTACAAATTTGCTCAAGAAACAGGAGACTTTGAATATGTGGGGAGGGGCATTTTCAAAACTATAAAAAATTGAAAAGGGTTTTCACATGGAAAGAGTTTGAGATTGAGAAGAGTTGAAGAATTCTTGATTGAGCCCTATTTCTGGCTCAATCTCTGCTTCTTGAGCAAAGATTGCTGTCTTTAGCAGGGAAGGCAGGGTCTGAATGGAGCAAGGAAGTTGGAGGCTGGAATAAACTCACTTCCCTTCTCTTTCCCATCAATGCTTGTAATAGGAAGTGATGAGACAGGAAAGTGGAAGTATGTAATAATCCCTGAACACTTCCTTGTGAAGGGAATATGTTGCACCTGTTTTGGCCAGTAGGGCCCAACTTTATCTATAAGCTAGCTAAATGCAAAACTTATTACTGTTTTGTAGGCAGAGTACCATACATTTGAACACAGAACAAGCAGTTGTAATAAAGAAATTAACCCTGTCTTGCCAGAGCAGCAAATGTTCCAGGGACAGAACATAGTCTTCTCGTCTATCCTATATTAAGAAAGTACTAATATTTTTATTTAATTAATATTAACAAAGGTAAAACCAATTCTCTTACCAATGATTCTATAGATAGAGATGAAAACCAGTGTCAGGAGTATGAAAGCAGTGTTCCAAGTCCAAATTTTAGGGTTAACAGCAGAAATTCCCAGGAACATAAAAATAATAGTTTCGGCACCACTTGCTAACATTTTCATGGAGTACCTCACGGTGGTAGAAGATTGGTCTGAAATATTTGCTTTGACATATTTCTGACAGCAGATACCACAGAATGTTATCCTGGAAAAATACATTGAACATCTTAGTCATGTATCCTTTTGATCCTCTTCTGAATTGTAATTTTTATTAAACTAATATGAAGTATGAAGAAATAAGTAAATAATTATATCTGATGAATAATATGTTAACTGGCAACCCTGTTATGACTGAAGGCCATAATTTTTCTATACTTCAGATTTTAAGTAACAGTTTACTCTTAAGTGGTTTATTACACAAAATAGCTGTTCTTGAAATCTCAGTTAATGGTATTTGAGTGGGATATCTTAATAAAATATTCCCATGGGGCAGAAGCTATATTACACAGGTATGCTCTTGTAGCATTATAGGAATAAATGCAGTTCAGCTTTGAGATCCTATACAGATAATCCTTGACTTATAGCCATTTAGTGACCATTCTAAATTATGAGGATGCTGAATGGACTTAAGCTATATACCCAAAGTTATTGCTGCAGCAGCAGCCCTGCTGTCAAGTGATCACAATTTGAGTGTTTGTCAATCTGCTTGCCCTTACGTTTGAGTGCAAGATTGCTGCAACTGCCTCTACCTGCCTATCCATCCCCCTCTCCTGCCTGGTGGGTCCTACCTGGCTGGATTCCACACCCTTGGGTTTCTGCTCCACCCTGTAATGCCTTGCTTCACTTACATCTTCTCAATACTGCTTTTCTGAAAGAGAATCAGCTGATGTGCCTGAATTGAATTGGAAAATTGTGCCCTTCTGAGAGATTGTATGAATAGTGTAAGGCAGTCTCTGTAGGAAGACCTCATGTCACATTTTCTGGGTGCTCTTTTGGAAAGGTGATCTTCAGAAGAGGAACAAGGCTTGATGGGACAGGGAGGAGGCCCAGGATTGTGAGACCAGCTTGGCAGGAAACTGTACAAGAGGTGCCTCAGGGTAGTAGAGGCTCTGGGAGGCCTGACACAGACCACATTGAGCTGGGGAGATGTAGTACAGGGCTGGGTTTGCGCCAGGCCTCCCCGACATCTTGACGCATTCCATGTTCTGCTTAGTGATCTGTGCAGTTGCTGAATCACCACAATATTAAGCTGGAATTGTAGTTGTTAAGTGAGGTACCTCTAACATTATTAAGTTGTTAAGTGGGCACCTCTAACATCTACAACAATTATGACTATGATTTTGGACTCAATTATGATAAGTCAAGAACTACCTGTATAGCCATGAGACATCAGAAAATTCCATTCATGCATCTTTGTAATATTCTGATGTTTTGAAATGTTATTGGATTATATGCTGTTTTATGTGAAAATAATCAACAGCTATGTGACATTGTACTTGGAGCAGTTTGCAAGTAGAAAGAACTTGCATGTTACCAATCATTTTAGAATATGTAAAAAGCCAAAAGGCAACTTCTTAATAGACCATGTAGATCTCTCTCTTGATATCCTGCTTCTGCCTACCCTGTTGGATTTATTACCAAATTATCAATTTATAATTAACCTTCAACATCAATGCTTCTGATTTACATACTCTATAGCTGGATTCCACACCTGAACTACATATGCCAGCCAGCCAGCCTATCTTGAATTCACAGAAGAATTCATATAGACTCAAATTATGTACTTACAAATAGAAATCTTCTGTTTTGTAGCTAAATCTTTTTATACATACAATGTAAATAGCTGTATAAACAGATTCTCAACATGAACATAAATATTTTTAACTTTTAAATAAATATAGCTTACTTTTTCAAGTTAGTGAAAAACTGTAAATTAAATGATAATTTAGTAAAAGAATAATTGAAACTTACGCAAGGATGGCAGATAATGAGAGCATCTCAGCTGTCAAATAGGAGAGATACGAAATGACAAATACAAATCCAGGCTCAATTATTCTGACATGCTTTGTGAAACGAGTGACAAGCGAGAGTAGAAATGCAAACATAATGCCAATAAAAGTACCTCCAAGGCTCACCACAAAGAAAGATACTGCAATAAAAATCACATAAAAATTGTACTTTGTTTAGAATAGAGTAGAGTAGAGTAGAGTAGAGTAGAGTAGAGTAGAGTAGAGTAGAGTAATTGGAAGGGACTTTAGATGTCTTCTAGTCCAACCCTTGCTGAAGCAGGAAACCTATATCATTTCAGAAAAATGGCTGTACAGTATATTCTTTTAAAAACATGGATATTTATTCCAGGATGAAATACAGTTAATGTTAAATATTTCGTTCGCGTGCGACTGATGAAGAGACATGGTGACTGTTAACTACTCTTTATTCTACTTCTCCAACAACCAAGCAAAAACAAAAGGCACGCAGGCCTTTTTATATGGCCAGAAACCCGGATAGTGTCAACCAATAGGAACAGAGCATTTTCGCGCCTTGTGCATGCGCGCAAGGCTGGTGCTGCTCTGTCTGGTCCCGGGCAGCTTTTGGAATGCCCGGAACCAATGCAACGTCCCAGGCCTGCTTTTGCAGGCTCAGGACACAACACCCCTCCCCCCTAGATGGAACATACTTCACGTACACACAGGTACATCGTGCACTGGGAAGAGTGACATACAGCTGCATTATTCAAATGCAAAAAGTGTGGAATACTCAAGTCTGCACACAGGCAAACCCCTTCAATATTTATTAACACAAATAAATGTATCCGAAATCAAAATAATGCAAAATAATCTAACCACGAAATACTCCCTTCATTCAGGGGCCTCATAAGAAGGTCCCTCATGATTTGATAGCAACCTCACAAAGTCTCTCAGATGTTTGGTTGGCACTTGGCCCGCTGCGACCTTCTAAGGCCTGGAGAGATTGCCTGGCCCCTCCTGCTCACCTACCAGGCTAGGCAGGCCAGGATGTTGCTGCCCTAAGTATCCAGGTGACCCTGGTGAGGGTGCCTGGCCTACCTGCTCGCCTACCAGGCTAGGCAGGCCAGGACTTTGCTGCCCCAAGTCCCCGGCTGACCCACCCAGCTGCTGACTGGCTGGACCCTCTAAGTCCAAGCCAGCATACCATGGAGGGGTGGAAGTCCCCGAGTCCACAATGGACCCCTCTTGGGAACACTGTCCCTTGAGCCCAAGGCCAGCATATGGAGAGGCCTGGTAGCAGAAGTGCCCCAGTTCTCTGTGGCCCCTAAGCACGTGCCAGAGGTGCCAGAGTCAGAAACCGCCTCCATGGCAACTCCTCTCCTGGTGACTTCCTCTTGGGAGCAATTGCTGAATTATTCAAGTGCCCTTGATGGAATTCCCTTTCTATGGCTGTGTATGATTTATGTGGATACCCCCGGTCAGTCTCCCTCTCTGGAGCATCATCTGACATATGTGAATACTGTGGATACTTCATATGACAACGGCCCCAAGTCCTTGCAGACCACAGCTGTGACCCAGAGATGTCCAGGCCCATAGTTTCTTGCCCAAACCGAATCGCCCACCTGGAGTCTTCTAGGTGCCCGCAGTTGTGACACCTATGAAGCCACTCGGTCAGGGTGCAGCTTGTCCAGTTTAGTGATGAGGTGGCGACCCCAGCGGAGTTCAGCCGGGCTCTTCCCTGTGGCTGTGCATGGTGTGGTGCGGTGTGCAAGAAGGAAATCTGCTAACCTGTGATGCCAGTTACCATAAGTCAGTTTCTTGAGAGCATCTTTGGTGGTGCGCACCATTCTCTCTGCCAATCCGTTGGAAGATGGATGGAAGGGAGCCGTCGTTGCATGCCAGATCAGGTTGGCCTGAAGAAAAGCCTGGAACTCAGAAGAGGTAAATTGAGGGCCATTATCTGAAACCAGAACATCTGGAAGACCATGTGATGCAAAAATTCCTCTCAGCACCTGGATGGTCCTGGCAGTAATAGTGGAGGAAACAGGAACAACCTCTAGCCACTTGGAATGGCTATCAACAACAACCAGGAAGAATTGCCCCTGAAAGGGCCCAGCATAATCTATATGCACCCTAGACTATGGGGTTTGCATTTCCTCCCACCTATGTACTGGGGCCTGAGGCATTTCAGGCCATGACTGTTGGCACAATTGGCACCCGTGCACCTGGGCCTTGATGGCTTTATCGAGCCCAGGCCACCAAAGATGGCTGCGCACAAGTGCTTTCATCCTGACTATACCAGGATGTCCCTCATGCAGAGAGATCAAGATTCTAGACCTCAATGAGGCTGGGATCACTACCCTGCTACCCCATAACAGGCAATCCTTTAAAATGGAAAACTCATGCTTCTTGTGCTAGAAGCTTTGGAACTCAGTATCTGGGCACTTGTCAGGCCATCCTGACAACACCCATGTCAGCACGCGTGTAAGCGTGTGATCAATGCTAGTTTCTGCAGCCACGTCCCTAACACTGAGGGGAGATTCAGGCAACTCCTGAATGGAAAGAATATTGATGGCAGGAGCAGGGTCTGCTTCTACCTGTTTTAAAGGTAATCTGCTTAGGCCATCTGCATGGCCCATTTCTTTTCCAGGTTTGTGAACTAAAGTGTAATCATATGCTGACAGGAAGATGGACCATCTCAGCATACGAAGAGAAATGATATGGTCTGTCTGTTTGCTGGTGGTAAACAAACCCAGCAGAGGCTTACGGTTTGTATAGACTGTGAAGTGGTGGCCATATAAGAAATCATGGAATTTCTTTATGTCAGCCACTATGGCCAAGGCTTCTCTGTCAATCTGAGTGTAATTCCACTCTGCAGATGACAGAGTCCTTGAGTAATAGGCCACAGGGACTTGTGTCCCATCAGCCTTCAGATGACTAAGTACAGCTCCCACCCCATAAGGAGATGCATCGCATGCGATGCATACAGGCAATTGCTCATTGAAATGTGCTAAAACAACATTTGAAGTGAGCAAGGCCTTAACCTCATTGAAACTCCTTTAGTCCACTGCCATGGAGCCTGCTTGTCTAAGAGCCTATGTAACGGCTCTGCCACTGCAGCCTTATGTGGGAGAAATGCATGGTAAAAATTTAAGAGCCCCAAAAAGACTTGCAGCTCACTCTTGGACTTGGGGCCTGGGGCCTGTTGAATAGCTTGTAGTTTAGCTTCAGCAGGGTGAATGCCTTTGGCATCAATCCTGAAACCTAAGAAGTCAGTGGAAGTGACTCCTATCTTGCATTTATCCTTTTTTAGTTTAAGGCCTGCTTTTCAAAAAACGAAGCAAGACAGCCCTTAAATCTTTCTGCTAAATTTTGTGATGACTCTCCAGCAATGAGGACATCATTGAAGTAGGGACAGACCCCAGGAATACCTCGAAGTATGCTCTCCATGACACTTTGTAATATGCCATGGGCTACATTTACCCCAAATTGCAGTCTTTTGACCTTGAAGGCTCCCCTGTGAGTTACAATAGTCTGGGCCTCTGCAGCTGCCCCATCAACAGGTAGCTGTTGATAAGCCTGTGCCAGGTCAAGCTTCGCAAAAATGCCCCCCCCCTTGAGGGAGGCCAGGCTTACAAGAGGGACTGGTTAAAAGCATGCTGTTGCAACGCCTTATTCAGTGTACACTTGTAGTTTGCACATATACGTATTTCCCCATTAGCCTTTAGAGGTGTTACTATGGGGGTTTCTCATGGACTAGAATCTACAGGTTCTAAAATGCCTTGCTGGAGCAATTTATCTAGCTCAGCATCTATTTTACTTTTGAGGGCAAAAGGTGCCCTCCTAGGCTTGACCCTGATGTGCATGATAGCTGGGTCTAACCATAGCGCAATGGGAGCCCCTTGTAGGATCCTAGCTCTGAACTAAACACATCTGCAAACTCCTTGCAGACTTCTGCAAGGCTCAACGTTTGCAAATGGTGCAGCCCAGTTACCTGGATTCCCAGAACCTCAAACCAATCGAGTCCAATAAGACTCGTACGTTCACCCCCAACTACCACCACATCTAGGAGACCTTCAAAATCCTCGTGCTGTACACTAAGGGTGGCCTCCCCCTTAACATACACCACAGAATTCTGAAAATCAGTGAGTATTAGATTCGATGGCCTGAGTTTAACTCAAAGGCCGCTGCTGCTACAAATCCTTTTGAATGTGTTAATTGAAATAATTGAAAGACGGACCCAGTGTCCAACTCCATTGATAAGGGAACCCCTTGCAACCTTATGTTAATGGAAAGTTTCTTCTTAAGGGGTTTGTGTGTCCCTGTCCTTAGAATACTCTTGCGCGATGTGCAGAAACCCACCCTATGTTGGCTGGACACCCTGGTACCTTTCAGAAGCAATTCTTCATGAGGTTGGACCTTCTGGCGACCCAAACAGACGGATGCGATGTGGCCTTGCCTGCCACATGCCCTACAAATGGTGGAGTGGAACCTGCAGTCAGCTCGCTTGTGGCATCCTCCACACCTGAAGCATTGAAGAGATGCTGGGGCCTTGACCGGATATCCCTTCGGCCTCCTCTCAGCTGGCTGATGAAATCTGTCCACCTCCTCTTCAGGATCTGCTTCTGATCCTTCTTGAGCATCCTCTTGATGGACGGTAGCGGTGTCTGGAGGATTTCTGGCGAGGTGCAAGGCCTTCACAGCCCCGCCTGCTGCTTTCTCAGCTGCCACCTGTCGCAACGCATCTTGGAAGGATACATCTTCTTTTGCAAAAATCTTTTGTTGTAAGTCTCTGCTCCTTAAGCCACAGACAAAGTGATCTCACAGCCTCTCTTCCAGATCCTTGAACTCACAAGGTCTGGCTGCTTGCCTTAAGGCCGCAATAAAATCTGCAGCAGATTCACCCGGCCTCTGGTCTCTCCGCTCGAACGCATGCCTCCAAGCAATGATGGACAACTTCGGCTGGAAGTGTTCCTTCAACATTTTCTTCAAGTCAGCATATGTTACTGACTCCAGAAGTACAGGGGCCACCAGATTTTCTGCGATGTCAAAAGCTTCTTGTCCACAGGCATACAAAAGAGTTGCTGCCTTCAGGCCGTCTTCTCTAATCTGATTTACTCTGAAGTAGTTCTCCACCCGTGCTATGTAGGAATTCCATCTCTCTGGGTGGGAGACATTGAAA